ATATTATCTTCCCATTGCTTTCCATTATAATTCTCTCCTAGTTAGAGATTTCTTACTATTGCTCACATCTGTGGCATCACTTTACATGCTCTCCTCTTCATGTTATCCTTATCCTCAGAATATTTCTACTCTTCTGCTCTTATCCATATTATACCCATCTTTCAAAGCCTAGGTTATGTCTCATCTGCTCTATGATCTCTTCTCCAAATAATTGATCCCGTGTGTACTTATCTTTAGTGCTAGGCAATTAGCACTTAATTATTCCTGTTTCATGCATATTAGACTGTAAGCTTTGTGACAATGAAGAATGCAGTCCTCACAGTGTGTGATCTTAGGCTAAGGCACTCAACAAATATTTGACTGCTCGTTGTGAAATGTGTGTGTTAAACATAGTCCTTGAATTTCATTAGCTTGTGACATATTTCGTGTTGCGGTCTGATTTCAGATCCAAATTAGATTCAGATCCAAACAATATTCAAAGAAATTAAAGGATACCTACATAAGTGGAAAGACATCCCATGTTCTTGGCTTGGTTGTGGTCTGATTTCAGATCCAAATTAGATTCAGATCCAAACAGTATTCAATGAAATTAAAGGATACCTACATAAGTGGAAAGACATCCAGTGTTCTTGGCTTGGAAGAATTAATATTCTTAAGATGTCAGTGCTCCCTATACTGATCAACAGATTCAGTGCAATCCCTGTCAAAATCCCAGCTGGCATTTTTGCAGATAATGACAACATATAGGTGGAAGCAGCAAGTTTTGTTGGATATAATGATCCATCAAAGAAGCATAACAGACCACTGACTGTCTTAGAAAGAAAAGGAATTCAGCATGATTTTTCTGTTTTTTTTTTTTCTATCTTAAGTTCCTCTGAAAAACCATTATTTGCAGTGACAGAGATGCTTCACAGTCCTTATTCTTCCTGGAAAAAAGTGAATAAGTGTTATAGGAGTTTTGAAAGTTAAAGTATTGTCTTCAGTGAGTTCTGTATATGTGTATTTGGGTAAGGGTTTATGTAATGGCTATTTTAGAAGTCATCCCGATATGGCAGAATTTCAAAACAATTTGGAAATGGAAAAAAAAAAACACACTGATCTAAATTTTCTAATTCCATGTGGTTTGTATCTGAAGGGGACGTTGATAATGTAATCCCAACTTCTGTCTTTATATTTCATAACCTTCTCTCTGGGAGATGTGTAACTTATTTGAATTTTGTAGTGGTAGGCTTACAAGGTGGTGACACCAAATAATATAGAAATAGTAAATGTCCAAATGGGTGCTTCTGCTCTACAGTATAGTATGTTCCCTTCTGCTATTCTCCTTTCTTTCTTTTCAGTGACTATATGTGTTTTCTATTTATTTTCAGATAGCAGTACAAATTGACATAACATGTCTGCTTAACAAAATTTAGCTCTAAGTTTGTCATTAGGCCAGGATATCATTAAATGGAAAGAGCAAAAGAGATCATGGATCCTGACTTGCCTCAGATTTCAAGTGTCACAGTATTGAAGTAATAGACATTATAGGTACTATTTTGAGGACACTGGTTAAAAAACAAAAAAATTCGAAATGCATATTTGTAAGGTTGTGGTAATTTATTTATTTATTTGTTTATTTTTGGCTGTGTTGGGTCTTTGTTTCTGTGCGAGGGCTTTCTCCAGTTGCAGCAAGCGGGGGCCACTCTTTATCTCGGTGTGCGGGCCTTTCACTATCATGGCCTCTCTTGTTGCGGGGCACAGGCTCCAGACGCGCAGGCTCAGTAGTTGTGGCTTACGGGCCCAGTTGCTCCGCAGCATGTGGGATCTTCCCAGACCAGGGCTCGAACCCATGTTCCCTGCATAGGCAGGCAGATTCCCAACCACTGCGCCACCAGGGAAGCCCCTAGATTGAATTTTTGAAGCAAAAAATGTACAAAAGAAACAAATTCATAAAGTGGAATTTATGAAAAAATATTTTGCTTTTTAAAAGATCTGTAAGAGAAGAAAAAGACAAGTCGCAGCAGGGTAGAAAATATTTAAGAATCATGTATCTTATAAAAGGTCTATATCCAGAATATATAAAGAACTTTTGAAATTTGAGAGTAAGATCCATAATTTCTTACATTTATAGTCGTTTGATTTTCAGCAAGGGTACCAGGACAATCCATTGGTGTGGGAAAGAATATCTTTTCAACAAATGATGCTGGAACAAGTGGATATTCAACATTCAAAAGAATGAAGTTGAACCCCTACCTCACACCATTTATAAAAATTAATTCAAAATTGGTCAGAGAGGGCTTCCCTGGTGGCGCAGTTGTTGAGAGTCCACCTGCCGATGCAGGGGGCGCGGGTTCGTGCCCCGGTCCGGGAGGATCCCACATGCCGTGGAGCGGCTGGGCCTGTGAGCCGTGGCCGCTGGGCCTGTGCTTCCAGAGCCTGTGCTCCACAACGGGAGAGGCCACAACAGTGAGAGGCCCACGTACCACAAAAAAAAAAAAAAAAAAAAAAAAATTGGTAGGGGCCTAAATGTTAGAGCTAAAAATATATAGAACTCTTAGAAGAAAACATAGCTCTAAATCTTTGTGTCCTTGGACTGGGCAGTGGTTTCTTAGATATGACAACAAAAGAATAAGCAACTAAAGAAAATATAAAGAGTTCATCAAAATTAAAAACTTTTATGTTTCAGAGCATACCATGAAGAAAGTGAAAGATGACACATGGAATGGGAGAAAATATTTATAAATCATGTATTTGATAAGGGACTTATATTCTGAGAATATAATTAGCTGTTACAACTGAACAATAAAAAGATAACTCAATTTTGGGTAAACATTTTGGATAGACATTTCTCCAAAGAAGGTATACAGATTACCAAAATGCACATGAAAAAGATGTTTAACATCATTAGTCATTAGTAAAATGCAAATCAAAAACACAGTGAGATACCACTTCACACCCACTAGGATAGATAAAATAAAAAAGATAGACCATAACAAATATTGTTGAGGATGTGGAGAATTTGGAGCGCTCATACACTGGTGCAGCCACAGTTTAGCAGTTCCTCAAAAGGTTAAATATAGACCCAACAGTTCCACTCCTAGGTGTATATACCCAAGAAAATTGAAAGCACAAGTCCACATAAAAACCTGTGCACTAATGTTCATAGAATCATTATTCATAGTAGCCTGTTAAAACAACCCAAATATTCATCAACTGGTATAAATGTGGTATATCCATACATTGGAATATTATTCAACCAGTTAAAGGACTGAACTATTTATACTTGGTAACATGGATGAACCTTGAAAACATAATAAGTGAAAGAAACACTCACAAAAGGCTACATTGTATGATTTAATTTATATGAAATATCCAGAATAGGCAAATCTATAGAAACAGAAAAGATTCCTGTATCAAAAGCCGATGGGTGGGGCAAAGGAAGAGTGACTACTAATGGGTATGGGCTTTCTTTTTGGGTGATGAAAATGTTCTGAAATTAGATAGTGATCATAGTATATGATTCTACTCTGTAGAATATACTAAACACCATGGAATTGTATATTTTAAAAGGGTGAATTTTATGGTATATGAATTATATCTCAGCAAAAAACCCAGTTTTTAAAATTGGCAAAAGCTTTACATAGGTACTTTACCAAAGAAAATATATGGATGACAAATAAGTACATGAACAATAACAACAACAAGCTAAACATTTTTGACCATTAGAGAAATCCAAATAAAAGCCAGAATAGCTAAAATCAAAAAGAGTAACAATACCAAATTCTGGTGTGGATGCAGAAGAACTGGAACTGTCATACTTTGCTGGTGGGAGTGTGAAGATCAGCTACTTTGTCAAACTGTTTGGTATTTTCTCATAACCTTAAACATACAATTATTATGTCCATGCAAACATTCATTTACTATGATCAGCAACTCCATTCCTAGATTATTTATATGTTTTTTAAAAACTTACATTCATACAAAAACCTGTTCAAAAATGTTTATAGCAGCTTTATTTGTAATAACCAAAAGTTGGAAACAAGTCAAATGTCCTTTCGCCAATGACTGGGTAAACAAACAAGTACTTCCATACAATGCGATCATACTCAGGAATAAAAAGGAAAGAATTGATACATGTAGGAAAATGTAGAGTGGATGAGTCTCGGATGCTTATTGGCAAGTGAAAGAAGCAAGACAATACTGTACATACTTTGTGATTTCATTTATAGGATGTTCTGGAAAATGCAAAGCCATGGAGAGGGAAAGATAAGTGCATGAGAGGAATTTGGCTTATTGGTGAGAGCAGAGTAATTACTCTCACTGCAGATCGGATTTTATTTCACAGAGCTTGTTTTTCCTGGTTGTTAATGAGCCATAATGCCTATTCTTTTTTTTTTTTTTTGATATTAATACCATCATAAAATAAAGGGTTGATTTATGTTTTTTAATTTTATGGTGGGGAGTGGTACATTTTGGGAGTAAGGCAATGTTTTTGCCTATTGACTTTTGTCAGTCTCACCCTATGTCTACTGTGGTACATTCTATGGATACACATCCTTATGACTCATGTTTCTTCTGCTCTCTGAACCTTTGTAGGTCGCCATGGCTGGAATATTCTCCCCACTTACTCTCAAGCTTGTTTAGGGAAATGTTCCATGCTTCCTCTAGACTAATTTAGATCTTGCCATTTTATTTTCTTTTACTATCCTATATTTCTTTATAGCACCATAAAATTATAATTAAGTTTTATACCAATTATTTGGATAACCATGTAACATCTATCCAATTCTGTATCCTCCAGTCCTCCATCCTCAAACACTACAGTCTCTGTTTATAATCAATGCACATTTGGTATTACCAGAGTCCTTTGTTTTTCTTCCATCCATATAGCCATGATTCTTTTAGAATCCCTTCTGCCTTTAATAACTTTCTTAAAAGATTAGTGGAGTCAGTGCAAATCCTATCAGAGAAGGAAACTTCACTTGGTGATGCTTTTCTTTTCTTTTTTCTCTTTGTAGGGAGACTCAACAGCCAAGACTCCTACAATAATTTTGCCAACAACAACCCTGGCAACCCCCGGCTTTCTCCTCTCCCCAGCCTGATGGTATTGATGCCTCTTGCACAAATCAAGCAGCCAATGACATTGGGGACCATCACCAAACGAACAGGGTAAGGCCTCAGGCTTGATACTTTTTTAGTAGCTGTTTTAGAGGATTAACTACACAAAAATAAAACATACTTTTTCTTTGGATGGTTTTGATTATGTTCTTCATTTACAGCCCACATGAGACTTAATGGCAGCAGATTAAATACAAAGTATAGAACATACACAAACACATTCATACACAGCCATGTACACGCACATTCACAGAAAAAACAAAGCAGTGACAAGTTGTGAAAACTAGTATTGGCTAATAAAAACCAGATCCATTTACTCAGGCTTATAGTTGCTGCCTTGTGGCTTTGTCTGAAAGTAGTGCAGTTGCATTTTCTTGCTTTTGTGGACATGATCTGGATTTATAATGACCCCCAAATTTTGACTGACACCAATGCTAGGGAGAGAACTTAATATGACAACCATGTTTCTAATACTAAAAAAAAATCATCTATATTGAGGTACAACTTACATATAGTAATCTATTGTTAGTATCAGGACAATGTGATATTATGGATAGTTTTCAAAATCCAGAGTCCTAGGGTTTAGTCTTTACTCAGATTGGTCATTAACATCCTCAGAGACTCTTGATGACTCACCTGATATCTTTGTGCTTATTTTAGCTATTTAAAAAATTTTCAAATTCCTACCTGTTAGGAATATAAAATTATCACTTCTTTGGGTTCCTGAAAATAAAGTGCTGTGTCTAAGATAAGATTATTAGATATTCAATTGTATAACAACTGTGAAACTCCATTATGTTCCCCAAAATATATATGTCTGTAGCCAAATTACCTATTTTCATCAATAAGCAATCCTGAGGTTTAGCCTAATTTGAAATGGAACAACTGTCTTAAAATTCTGTATTTGGTAGTCAAGAGAAAACTCCATCTTGGCTTCAAATAGTCTTCAAGGTCTTTCCAATAAGAGGAATAGACTTAATTATGTGGCTGCTGTCTCATTATGTTTTAATATTGTTGTGCTAGGTGGTGAAGTGTTTACAGAAGCTACTTTTGTAAGAAGAAACACTCATTCTCCAGGATGAGGCCTTTTAGCTCCAGATTTCACCATTACACTGAAATTGACCCTCTACCTAGTGGAGTTGTGTTTGCCTATAAATTCCTGTTTCTGAATGCAGAAATTGAGGTTGTGGTGTATTAAGGGAAAAATACAGCAAACCGAGCTCCCAAATCAGACATCTTATGATACAAATCATTTGCCTGTATTTTTAAAAATTGATATCAGCTTTTTAACTCTTCATTAGTAGTGTAATTTAAATAGAATTTTTACCTCCCTTTCCTCTTATTTAGTTTCTTTATTTTAAAATAAGTTAAATAAGAGTGGCTATGGATAGTAAAGGGGTTATGAACTTATATTTACAGGTGGCTCATTTTTTTCTTTGTGTAATGATACATTTCTGGGACGTAGAATCAAATAAAAATGAGACTAAATCTTGAATCATAATCTTAAAAGTTATTTTTTCACTCACAGAAGTCAGTCAGTACATAATTATACCTTCTTGATCCAACCCAGCATTGTAGAATTCTACAAAGTGTTTGTCAGTGTTTCCTGAATCTAAGACTCTAATCTCAAAATTGTCCCTCTTGATTTTAATTTTACCACTAAGATCCTAAATGAAGTTCTATGCCTGAAATCACGTGATCTTAGAGTTTAATTCAAAATATTTGTGGGGAGGTTGAAAAGTGAGTTTATTTCTGTATATATTTGAAACTTTCCATAATAAAAAGACAAACTGTATCACACACTCTTTCACTGTCTCTCTTGCTACTCTTTCTCTCTGTCTTTAGTTGGGTAGAAACTATTAATCATCTGGTGTCTTCCTGTGCTACCATACTTTATGAACTTAGATAATTTCTGTGTTTCCTTTTCTTGTTAAAAACTTGGTCACAGGGCTTCCCTGGTGACGCAGTGGTTGAGAGTCCGCCTGCCTATGCAGGGGACGCGGGTTCGTGCCCCGGTCTGGGAGGATCCCACATGCCGCGGAGCGGCTGGGCCAGTGAGCCATGGCCGCAGAGCCTGCGCATCCGGAGCCTGTGCTCTGCAGCAGGAGAGGCAAAAAAAAAAAAAAAAAAACTTGGTCACAATTCCTAGATTTTCAGAGCACATGTATTATGTTCCCTTATATTCTAGACAGTTTAATAATTATTTATTAATGAATTAAGTGATAGGAATTTGAATTGTGTGCTTTGAAATTAATATTAGTTCAAGATACATGTATCTTATTAGTTACTGGGCTTTTTTTTTTTTAACATCTTTATTAGAGTATAATTGCTTTACAATGGTGTGTTAGTTTCAGCTTTATAACAAAGTGAATCAGCTATACATATACATGTATCCGCATATCTCCTCCCTCTTTACTGGGCTTTTTATCTCAGATCTCAAACCATTTTATTTTTTCCAAATTTTTGAATTCTTTTTGGCATGTCCCCTATCTTGGAGTGTTTAGAAGGAATAATTACTGTTTGTCCCACAGTGAGTCCTTGGCTTTTAAATTTTAAACATTTTGATAGAGATTCATTCATACTTACAAAAACAAGTTACAAGACCTTAGGGGATTCCCTGGTGGCGCAGTAGTTGAGAGTCCGCCTGCCGATGCAGGGGACATGGGTTCGTGACCCGGTCCGGGAAGATCCCACATGCCGTGGAGCGGCTACGCCCGTGAGCCATGGCCGCTGAGCCTGCGCGTCCAGAGCCTGTGCTCTGCAACGGGAGAGGCCGCAACAGTGAGAGGCCTGCGTACCGCAAAAGAAAAAAAAAAAAAGTTACAAGACCAGTAAAAGGAATTCCTGTATACCCACATTTCCCAAATGTTAGCAGTTTAACATATTTGCCTTATCATTTATGTTTTCTCACTCGGCACACACATACACACATGCACACACCCATCCACCAAAAGCTCATTTTATTAGTATTTTTTTCTTCTATATGGTTGTTTTCTGTAATGAATTCTCTACTATGGCAGAGCTTTAGTGCTCCATTAATTACCCCACCCACTCTTCTTATTTTCTCTCCCCTCCTACTATTCTTTTTTCCCCTTCCTATTAACAAAGATTACAGTGACCAAAAACACCTTGATGATAGTATTCATAACTTATGCTTGCCTATGGCTAGGTTACAAGACTTAATACCCTTAAGCCATTTTCTGAAGGGTTTGTTGATTATATTTAGAAATTGCTATTGTGACTTTACTTATAATTCTTATACTACTACTGTAAGTCACCCAAATATTTGGTCATAGAATTTTTAGAATATAGTTTGTGGTTTTATTATCTTAACATTTAGCATTTTCATTGAAATACATGTATTTTGCCTAACCAAAAGTATTTTGGGGGGGAGAGTAAGATATATTCCCTAGATTTCCATTTTTGACATATGCTGAGATTTGAAGCACATCCCAGACATTTTGATATCATTAGATTTCTCCCATTAGATAGTAAGGTTATATTTATGTCATTTTTATTAAAAAAAAATTTTTTTTTTACTGTGACCAGTTCTCAAGCTGCCCTTAGCTCACTTGCGTTATTTCCATCAAATTTTATTATATTTACTGAGAATTTTGATTGCCACATTAAGATCACCAGAGTGAGGAGCAAACAGGCTTTTAATTTTCCAGGTCATTGTGGAAATCCTGATTTACTCTGTGCTTCAGTGAAATGCCTTTCCTAGCATTTTAAAGATAAAATTAACAGAAGTATTTGACATGAATTATGTAGAAAGAGAACACAGAGCTGACTCATTTATAGACATGTAAGTTCAAATATACCTGGTAAAATATCTAGTAAAATATATATTATTTGTTCCATGTCCTAGATATTTGGCATAACGGCATGAAATAAACATTAAAAATCATATTTCTAGCATAGAGATTTCCAAGGATTGCTTAGGATCCTATATTTAAATAACCAAATTTAGATGGAAGCCTTAACTCAGACCTTTAGGGGATAGACGTGTACTTACCGTGTTTCATGTCTGCCCTCTTATTTTTGGAAATATAGATCCCTGAAAGCCTGTGCAGTGTCAGGGACCATCTGTCTTATTCAAAGACATTTGCAAGGCCAGTAGAACTACAAACGGCAAAAGACAGATGTATTTGCACCTTCACGTTCTGTACCTTGAAGCAGCACTGGGAGGAAATAAGGCCTGTTTTGGCAACAGCTGTTGCTTAACTCGATTGTAGTACACACTGGTGAAGACAAAAGATGTGCTAAGAATCTTTTGGTTTAACAGTCACTCATTCAAACAAAACCCATTTCTTCCAGGCTGAGACTGGAGGACTGGAAGGACCTCCATCATGTTTTTATCATGTGTGAATAAGTGTAGTTTTCATCTATTAAAAGTGAAACTGGGTGCTAAGGGATTGCTCATTGTTTTGGAGTGTAAAGTTTTTGTAGTAGGGATTTACTAAGCAGTAGTCCATAGATGTTTGGTTGAATTAATTTTTAATGCTTCCTATGTAAAAACTTACTAAATAGATAATTTTTCATCAATATGCTTAATTTTTTATACATCAAATCTAAAATTATTAACATATACACATCATTTTGTGGGCACAAGCAGGGAACAGTACATTTCAAAAAGTGGTCAGGGGACTTCCCTGGTGGTGCAGTGGTTAAGAATCCACCTGCCAATGCAGGGGACATGGGTTCGAGAGCCAACACAGTCATACATACATACATACATATAAATAATTAATTAATTAATTAATAAAAAGAACAGTATATGTGGAATGTGCAAAAAAAAAGAATGGTCAGAGTAATTTCATGGGAATAAAAATATAGAAATTGGGAATGAAGTTACTTCCTTGCCCTTAACTAGCTGAGGTTTTTGGTGAAGTAAACCTGGTATGACTTGTTGTCTTTCATAGGTTTCCTTTTTCTTAAATCGAGCAGCTTTTTGCTCCTTCTTCCCTCCCCCCCCATGTTTGTATTTATTCATTTCTGTGTGAGCAATTCGAGCTAGGTATTAGGAACTTTTGGCCTGACCCTGTAGAATT